ACTTCACCGGCTTTTGCTTTACCGGCGAAATCGTTTTAGGTGAGCCGTGCCAAATAGACCCGAAATAGGTGGCTGGCTCTTGGATTTGGATCTCCGCATACGACACAGCAAACATGCTGCCGACAGCAGAGTACTCCCTCCGTTCAGAAAGTCGTGTCCAGGTTTAAAGCTTGGACGGAGGGAGCAGTAGAACTAGGACCCGCATGTCATGGAATCGCTAGCAGTTTGCTAGCTGCTGTAGCACCTTGCACAAACCCAGCTCTATCATATTCCGTGACTACGTACGTGACATCTCAATCACAGCGAAAGTTTTGGAGTCTAGTGCTAGCCTTGTGAAGGCTACTAGTGAGTAGACAGGTTCTTGTTCTCCTATAAATATTCGAAATGTGGTCCACCTGACAGCCAACGTCTATCATCATTTAATCGGATCTGTTAACCGTTTCCCATCATCATCTGTACTCACAGAGTCACAGCGTCAGTTCGAGACCTGCAGTAGGAGGACCAAGAAGTTGTTGAACACATTACACATCCCCTGTTGCTCCGACCTCCGAGGCTCCGACGCCTGAATCTGAATTCTTGGCACCTTGCTGTAGGGTCTTGGATGCCGGGGTTCCCTGGTGTGTTCGCCTGTTCGGGCATAAAAGGGCTTTGGGAATAGGGATGTGCATAAAACCATACAGTACTCCGTATACCGCAACTATCAAGACCTGACTCCAAAATATCTGAATCTGAATTACCCTGTCGCTATTTCAGATAGTAACTTTAGAAAGACGATTTTAATCTGAGGAACTTGAGTATTAGGTCCTGATACCGATTTACCCATTTTACACAAAATAGTGGAACCTTGTATGGTATTTATTTCTGATTATATTGATTGAATTTGGCTATTTCAAAATGTTAATTGCGATGTTATTGGGACCTAATGATCTATGATGTAGGGCACATTTAATTTGGTTGAGAGCCGGGCAAGGCTACCTGGCACATGCAACACTCCTATGTGTTTGGATCTTGGACGCCTGTTTGGCCCAGGGTCTCATCGAAAACAGCCCAATATTGTTTATATTGCTTAAACTTGCCACTATAGTTCTTTCTATTTTGAATATATTTATGATTTTGTTGATTTCGAGTAGTTTGGGAACACTCAAACCCAAACATCAAGTTTTGGGTACCCGAAATATCAGATACTATCTTCTCAAAATGGATTTCGGGTATCAAATATGGTCGCCCAGAATTTTTAAAACCCAAATTCACTGACATCGAGTTTTCGGTAACCGAGTGCCCACCCCTATTTGGGAGGCCGACAGACCGGTGAGCAGGTGCCACCGGTTGCAAGCAATGGAAATCGGTGAAATTTTAGTATGCAAATTAGCACCTAAGTCCTAAGATAGTAAGTATATTATCTTATATCTCGAAAGTTGGATTATCACCGTTTAATTTGGTCTTAAGGTATCCATTTCAAAAGAAACTTCTCTTGAACTATCTATAGGTAGAAGAGTGTGTCGAAGGGAAGTCATTTACTACTCATCTAGACACGAAACAAGGCAATAATCCGTTTTTTTAATAATCCATGTCTTTTTTTTCCTTTGCCACTTGACTCACACAACGGTTCAAAGTTCGCTGGTGGAGGACACAACTGGTGGTAGCATTTGCTTTGCTACTTGACTCGAAACAATGAAAACCTTCTCTAGACAATAATAATATTGCCATAGCTCGCTATTTCCTTTGCGACAATCATAGTGGCAGCGTTTGAGCTGATGTGGCCCATGATTTAAAATGTCTATTAAAATTATACGTGTATATTATTAATACAGATAAACCATTGATAGAACTCTCCCATGGATCTATGGATCCTACACATCCTGAGGCACGAGCAATAGTATATCCCGAGTAGACTTGATCATGGACTATTGGGCCACTTAGCTTAAAAAATTGGTCGCGCATGGGCTCTAGCCCGCTAGAATCGACGGGCCGCGTATAGACTCTAATATTTGACCTAAACCCCCACATAACCTGAAAAAGGCCCAACTCGAAACACTGATCTAACCCAATACAATGATCCGACAGACCGACGGTTTCATTCGACGGGAGATGGGCCAGACTTTTTTTTCTCGAACGAAGATGGGCCAGATATTATAGATTGGGCTTACAAGATTTAAACGGTTTCCTAAAAAAGCCTATTTGACCTCCTTGTATATCAACGCCGTGCCATTTTCCTCCTTGTGTACGATAAAAAGCTAGATATATCCTGCTCCTACACATCTCTAGTACCAGACAAGTCACACTGTCAGTTCGAAAAGTGATCAACACGTAAATATTTATAGTTTTACCGTACGTTGTGATCAGATGTGGCCTAACACTCAATGACGCGGGTTTATCTTTGGTTCGAAAGCAACGTGTTTACGCCCAGCTTTGAGCCTGGCGGGTGACTTTATTCCCAGCCTAGGTGCTCGAAGTTTTCGTAGGTTATAAACGAGAGGGAGTAAGATGGGGTGCAAGAGGTCCTACAACCACGGGAAGGGCCAAGAGGACGGGAGGTCCCACATATTTGAGCGCAGCTTCGATAGAATCGCTCAAACGTGGGTCGCAATCGTCAGAGAGCGCATCCGGCCTTACAAAGAGTGAGAGAAAAAGTGTGCACTTACACGCCTGGCTGTACAAAGCGGTTTATCGTGCCATAACACTATTGGTGTTTGGATGCATGTGTTGGTTCCACTTGAGATGTTGATGCTACCACCATACCGGATAAATGTACCATGTTCTGACATGTCTAGAAGGTTGCACATCACCGATTGTCAGCAAGATCATCGCCTGCGGTACGACCCTTGATATTGCGGTTTTGACTTGCGCCATTGCTTTCTGCTCTATCCGTTTCTGGTCTTCATCGAGATTGCGTCCCCCTCCTTTTGAAGAGCGAGGTTCATGTACTCCCGAACGGAGAAGCGAGTGTGTCTGAGGCGAGTGTCTCCCCTTCTCTGCCAATGAGATCGTAACGCCGCTCCTCCTTGGCCAGCGAGCCCTCGGTGAGGCGAAGCTAGAGTCGAGTGAACTTTTGTTCCAACGAGAGGCGGTCATGAGGCGACCATCCCTCTCGGCCAGGGTTTATTCCGGTCAAGATTGGACCCGATGAGAAGCAGATTCATGAGGGACCCTGGGTTTATGAACCCGACAGACACGTTTGATTAGTCTGGATGGTGGCCTTAGCCTACATGATGCCACATAAGCCGTCCAATGTTTTCCTTTTTGCAAAGGAAAGGAAAAAATATGTTAAAACTTAGCATACTACTCCGTACGTCCCTATACTTACACACTAAAAAATGTAAAATAAAAAGATACGATATTTTACTTAGATTTTTTCACAACCATTTTCCCTAGTGACTTTACTTGAGCAAAACATAGCTTTATTGAACACTGAAGCCAAAGTGTAGTTCTTATACTAATCCAACCATCAACCCCAAACATTGGACATACTAATAGATCCGACGTTCTGGAATCAGCCAAAAAAAAACACACATGAAACGACAAAAAGAACATCGACAGTTGCATCGTCGGTACATCATAGATTGCAAATTCGTCAACTCCGACCCTTGATTTGCTATGTATGTCTGATTTCTTCTATGCAACCATTGACAATGAGATCGATAACCCGTAGTTACTGCCTCATGGGGAGAGTATCTAGAGCACCTTCCCCCTTGCATATAACAAATTGCTGATGAAATCGATGCCTACGACGGTGATGTCGTCGTGGCAACCACCGAAGTCACCGTAGGTAACGAGATATCAAGAAAAAAATCATTTGATTTTGTCGATAGATTGATTTGAGCAGAACCCCAAGCAAACTAGATCTAAAAACTTATGTAAAAGAGAGATGGCCCCTCTCCTTCTAGCTACCGGCAGATTCGCCTCGGAGAAGGAGAGGGGACCTAGGTAGCGATGTGGTGACAATAGTGTCTCCCAGCGACGGATGCTTTGGAGGAAGCTACCTCTAATAATTGTACGGCCATCCACTATATATATGGCAACGGGTAAAAATACAGTTCGGCGCCCAGCACCCACGGCATTATGTTCCCACGCCCGAACCAAATTTTACCGTGACAAATTTTAGGAAACAAATTGTAATAAAGATTTAGGCAAAAATATTCATCATATATTTGACAAACGAAAAATAATACATTGACAAGTTTAATAGCAAATCAAATGACACATACGTTTTTATCAACCGGATTCTCATTCACACGGTTTTCTGTCAGGACGCCTAATTGACTACGGAGTATTCTACAGTATTGGCTCCCCCGAGTGCCGATGGAATTGGCATCCGTCCGACTGTGCGAGCACGTTTCTTTGAAGGAACGGTCGGTCACAGGGCATGCGTATGGTACTGCACGTCTGTCAGGACGGCTCGTCTTGGTTCTTGCCCGTTACTACTACTGGTAATTTCGTGAATAAACATATCAAACCGACCACAACGGCTAGCTGTCGTCCGGCTGTGGAACGTGGCCCTTCCAGGAAAGCCAGCCGCGAAAGACGCCGACACCCCGATTCCCCATCCAACGGCACAGGTGGCACCACCTGCACGCGGAAACTACTCCGTAGTCGTTAGGAGGCTGGCACCGTCCTCCCGTGGTCCTCCCCACCCGCGACGCGGTGCCGTTGCACCCAGCGTCAAAACGGACGCGCCGCTCCGCGACTCGTTCGCCTCGCTCCATGACAGCCCGGTCCAACGGTACGTGACCCCACGCGTCCGAGTGACACACTCCAACGTCACAGCTGTAGCTGTTCGTGAACCGACCCGAGAGAGCCGGGGAAGGGTCCCCGCCGGGAGGCCATGACCCCGTTGCCCGCTATAAATAACCTGCCCCGCCCCCTCGTTTCCAATTCACAACTCGCAGTCGCAGATCGAGTCCGCAGCAGCACTCGCCGGAGAATCCCAAGCAGCACTCTACAGTCACCGTCCACTTCTCCAGATCTTAGCCTCTCCCTCCTCCACCGCCGCCACGATCCCAATGGCTCGCTACGCCGTGGTCGCCGCCATCGTGGCCCTCCTCGCCGTGACCGCGGCGGCGCAGGCCCCGGCCGCCACCCCGACGCCGGCGCCCAAGGCGGCGCCCAGGATAGCCCCGCTGCCGCCTCCCCCGGCGCGGTCCCCGGCCACCGCCCCGGCGCCGGCCTCCAAGCCGCCCACCCCCGCCGCGTCGCCGTCCCCGCTGGCCTCTCCCCCGGCCCCGCCCACCGCCGAGGGCCCCGCGCCGTCCGCCGCGACGACCCCGACCTCCTCCGTCTCCTCCGCCCCGACCGGCGCCCCCACCGTCGCGCCCGCCGGCAGCGGCGGCGCCGCTTCACACGCCTCCGCCCTCGGCTTCGTCGCCGTCGCCGGCGCGGTCGCAGCCGCCGTCATGTTCTAGACGCGGGGCGTCGTGATGGGCGGTGCTGTTTATACTACTACAGTATCAAATTCTTTTTGTTTGCGTGGGTGATTCTTTCTTAGATACTGAGAGAGCAGAGGTCATGTGAGAGAGATTCTAGTGGGTGTAGCCATGAGCTGTTACATATGAATGGATGTCATGATTCATGATCCAGATGATTATTAATGGAATTCTTTCATTTGTTACTACTACATCGCGTTCTCTCTTTTTATTCACGATCGAGATGGTTATTGGTGCACGAATCCTACAATTTGGCACTCCTAAATTCTCCTCCATGGCATGGCTTCATTCGCTTGGCTGAAAAAAACAAGAAAGCTAAAATATTATGAGAAAAAAATACTGTTCGACTAAAAAAAAGAAACCGAATAAGCCGACTTTCAAGCAAAGCCAACTGGACCTACTTATTTTTGTGTGCGCTGTATGCTCCGGCCGAAGTTGCTGTGCAACTGTCTTCCGTTTTTGCACTGGACGCAACATGCTGGTCATTGGAAATTTGGAATTTTACACCATTAAAACAGCCGTTTCACACCGAACGCTTTGGAAATTTGGAATTTTACTCCACCATTAAAACAGCATCTGGAATGGTTCGACGGTGAATGTGATCGTTAGACAGCTGTGTTCATGCTGGAGACGACCACCGCGGTGAGGAGTCATGTGTGCTTCTCCTGTCCTCCTCTGTTTTATTTTGCGGTGCCTCGACAGTGCAGAAAAGGCTCATGGTCGCACGAGATGCTGCTGGGTGCGTCTTTGCCTCTTTGGCATCTTGTCTTCGACAGTACTCGCATTCTTTTGCTTTTTACCGTTGCTCTCCGGGATCCGGCTGGCAGCCGCCATGTGAGTATGTGACGCGCTTTCTTTTTTGCATGTACGTACTCCATGCTCTGTAAAAACAGCTGTAGCTGTAGCGCGTTCTTCAGAGAAATCGCATCGATAGAGTCCAGATACACTGACCTGTGGCTGTGGCTAGCTGGAATATCTAGAAATGTATTAGCTTTGGTTCATGTGCAGGCCGGCCCGTTCGGCTGGGCAAAATCGGCTGGCTGGGCCGCTGTTCGCTGGGCTGATCAGCCCAGCCGTTCGGCTAGCCCAAGTCCAGCCGAACGGCTGTAAAGTCAGCATCCCTCTGCGTCTGAGTTGCTCACTCACTCACTCCGTAGTCCTCCCTCCCTCACTCCGTCCCCCGCGCCCCCACGCCTAGGGTTTTCGCCGCGCGGCTCGTCGTCGGTGTGAGCTCCGGTTCTCCGTTCCTTCCCCGGCGCCGTCGATACCTCCCACACTCTGGACTCCACTTCGTCCCCGCCGAGCCCTCCTCTCTCTCTCACTCCTCTCTCTCCTCATACCGCTTTCTCTTGTTGGTCCTCGCAAGAAAAAAGCGAAAAATCCTACAAATCCGCCCCTCTCCACCGCCGCTTACGGTCCTCCTCGCCGCCGCTTCGCGTTAGATCGGCTCGCCGTGTTCGATGCGCACCCAAAGATCCTCGCTTTTTCCCGAGTCTTCTTGTCCCCGTCCTTGGTTTCGTTGTCTGCCGCTTTTCTTGAGGCCGTGGGGAAAATCTTGTGGCGGTGGACCGCCATGGCTCCTTGGTCCGTCCCGCTTTCCGGGTAGCTGCGGGATTGGCGTTTGCTTGGCCGGCATAGCCGGCGCGGTTGAAGCGCTTAGGCCTTTAGCCTTTACCCGCAGTGGTTTGTCTGCGTGACCCGACTTGCGGATCCGACGCCGCCGTCCCCCCCCCCCCCCCCCACCGGATCGACACCCACATGCTCCTATTTCACCGAGGCCGCTTTCGCCAACGGATCCGCTTTGTCGATTCGCCCAGATTCGGCACCTTCTCATGGGATCCGACATTGGCGGCAAAGCGTCGTCGCCTCGCCGCGCCTCTCTCTCCGGGCGTGAATCTTGCATCCGTCGTTCAAAACGCGCGAGGACTTCGGCAAGGCAAGTCCCCTTGTATTACGACCTAACTCCCTATTTGTCACTCTTACAATTCGCCTTGTATCTCGCAATCATCATACCATACAATTTCAAATGCCAACAGATGTCCACCGACCGCGCTAATCGGGATGAAGCCACCTTGAGGATCTTTCTCGAATTAGTCATAGAACAGTAAAAACCTCTTGCACCGGAGCCAACGAGGCCTCACGACCGTCGGGTGGAACAATCTTTACCCACAATTCCCAAAGTTGGGTTATGACAAGAAGCGCCTTCGAACAAGTTGAGTGACTGAAGCGGTCATATTTCGCTTAGGCGTGACCTTCAAACCCACACTGCCGGGCCGTGACCCGATCACGGAGGTGTCGCAGCGATTGACCCCTCATTTTTGAGGATGGCAGCGGGTACTTAGACAAAACTGCTATTTTGTTTGTCGACCATACCTAATTTGTATATCATGCTCTCGCCAGAGTCGTGCTAGTGAAAGGTGCTTTGTAAAGCCACTGCCCTCGACGCCCGCCACCGCAAGCAACAAGGAGAATGTGCCACCAAAGGAAGTCGTGAGGGATGCACCAAAGAGGAGCCTAACAATTTAAACGTGCTTAAATTTACAACAAGATTCGAGACTCAATAAGGCCGCTTAAATCTAAATTTATTGTTCACCCTTTTACTTAATGTCATCCCTTGTTTGAGCATCTTATTTGCAACGGCCTTGTCTTCTTGGTCGCATTACAATGTTAGTTCCTTAAAGAGGCAATATTGCTTTTAATATTGGCGGTTAGTATTCTTAGTCGAGCTACTTTACGGGCGCTATTTTGTTTACTAGGCATACCTAATTTGTATATCATGGTCTTGCGGATGAGCAGCCCGAGGACTCCGACATCGGCGACACCTCGAGCGCGAAGGAACGGCAACTTACAACGTAGTGGCTGCTGCTTTGTCCTCCTCGCATGCGGTTAAAAGCGGCGATGGACAATGCGCCTTCGATGGTGAACCCAGTAGTCCCCTTCCCAAAGATGAGCGGGCGTCGGTGGATGGAACTCAATCAGAAAACGAACAAAGGTGCAAAGAAAACCTCGTATGTCTCCTGATGCTTTTCTGCATCTGCACAACATTTTAGTTGAGTATGGATTGAAGGGTACACAATGCATGGATCCATAGAAACTTTAGGTTTGTATGTGTGACTTGTGCTCACAACGGGCAGCTAGAAGGTGTAGGGATAGATTTGAACGGTCTTTAGATACAGTGAGCAGGAAGGTTACTCATGTGGCCGAGATTGTTAGTAGATGGGCAGATAGTATTTTAGTTCCAATTGATAGTACTTATGCTGGAGTGCACGCTCAGTTTGCAACATATGCACCATTTTTTGATGGTTGCATTGGGGCGTTGGATGGAACTTCATATTAAAGTGTCGGTGAACAAGGAGGCCAAACTTGACTACATAAACAGGAAAGGAGATGTGACAATTAATGTTTGTGCCATTGTGGACATGGATATGCGCTTCACGTTTGTGGGGGCCGGGATGGCGGGGTCGATTGCATGACATGGCCAGATTTAAGAGAATGTTGGCGAGAACCATCGTTCCGCATCCACCAATGAGGTTAGTGAGTAGTGCCATGCAATACTTGTCCCATTTTTTATTACTTGCCTTTGAGGAAACCGAAACTGCTTTCAAACCGAAATGTTGCATGTGTTGCGGGGACGCTACTATTTGGTGGACGCCGGATATCTGTTTGACACCTTTGGTTACTTGGCTCCATTCAAAAATACAAGGTACCATCTGGACGATTTTAGGGTTTAGACATGGACACATTATCTAGACAAGAGAAATTTAACTTCACTCATTCAAGCCTCCAATGTCGTTGAAAGGTCATTTGGGGTTCTAAAAGCCCGTTGGCACATATTGAATGGGGTACCGTTCATCATAGGGAAAACAAAAGATGATTATTATGTCATGCTTTGCATTTCACAATTTTTTACGCAATCGTGAGATAGGAGTTGGCTCGCCTACATACCCACCGTCGGATTGGGTTCGGATCAATGCTAATTCCACTATGCGCCAAAGAGGGGAGTACATATCTGTGGCTCTCTCTGGGGGCAATGATGCAACAAAGGTAATTTGTGCCGTCCCATGTATTTGTGCCATTCATAAAGACTGGGTTATGCAGCCCTTACTGACCATTAATATAGGATGGGTTCTTCTTTTGTTTTATAGGTTGCCCAGGAGACACTTTTGGTGCTGCATATGCTGCTTTGCAAAGGTGATCCTGCATTATGTGAATAGTTTATTACATTTACAGTTTCATACACAAAGTTCAAGTTTTTAAGTTGTAGGTTCATTAGAGGTATAGTTCATGTTTATATTACATGTACAGTTGTACTGGATCCTGCTTAGTTTATATTAGTTGATAATTGAAACTGCTTTTGCTTGTAGTAAGTATGAGTGAAAAATGATGCAGCTGCTAGGTAGCGACAGTGAGGGGTGATTTAAATAGGTTCATTGAGGGATTCTACATAAAACATCTTGTTGATGTGTAATGTCCTCATGTTTTTATGGTCCTGATGCCACGTCTCCAGTAGCCATGGGCATTGACTGGTGATGCTATGATTAGACCTATACAGAGTGGTCTCCACGTTTCTCATGTTTATAGGAACTTGGGGACTGCATCTCAATCTGTCCTCAGAGCCGGTATATGTGATTACAGGTACTGTTCAATTTACACATTTTATTTGGTGGTTTGTTAAATTCATATATGGCCATGATGATAATGTTAAGGCTAAGTGCTTTTGCCCTGCTAAGCTTGAGAGTCAGTGCTGTTAGATCCTTCCATGCAGTTTCAATTTTGGAGCTGCCTGGTGGTTTGGCAAATTCGAACAATATTCAGAATTTCTTGGAATAGCACCTTGACACAGTTTGGTGAGAGCTAGCAGTAGATGAAGAGTTTTCAGACTATGGGGTAGTACTAGCTTTCAGCAGTTTGGGCTACATCTTCATAACACCATGATGGGCTGATAGTTATGTAGATATGTATATGCTGTCCAAACTGCT